ACGCGTTTCAGGTAGGATTGCGAGGATGCATCGTAGTCGACTTTGGCACTTTGCATTTTGCCATGAACACGGTCAACCCCACCGACAACGAGTGCCAATACACATACAAGCCGTGCACGAACCCGCGATCGCGAAAGAAGAGCGGGTCACTCCACTCGTTCTGCGAGTACCACCGACAAAAAGCCAACGCGCTTTAGAAGGCACATGACCGAAGGAAGCGCCTGCGCGAGGCAGACGCGATGCGAGCTATCACGACGTCTCGGCCAACACCGATCGAACCGACTCGAACACGGTCAATTGCTACGTCGGCATCGTTTGACGTCGAAGACATCCGCTTCTTGAACGAGTGGCTGCTCGATACCAACAACGTTGACGCTGACGACTACCTTGACGAGACGAGTAGCAGTACGAGTCCCTTGACCGCCGAAGACTATGCCATCTTGTGTGACATCTTTCGTGGGCCTTGACGAGATGAATTGCAGTCGTCTGTGTATTTGATTAAATATCAGTCTATCAACGGGTAGTGCACTAAATAATGTAGTTGTACGCAGGCATTTCATGGCATTGTTGCCGACGTGCTTTGAACGGATAACAGGCACGTTTGGAAGACGATGTGGCGGATTTACGGATATGAAGGGGTATGGTATCCAAACGTCCACGTGGAACAGCCGTATTGCAAGCTCGAGCAACGCCGCATAGAACCGTACCCGTCGTATTGTAGTAGTAGGTGCAAGCGTGTTGTCAGCAAGCGCTGGCAGCAAGTGGTGTCCAAGCCCCTGCGTCGCATGCGACGGTGCAATTTGAAACCAAGGACGACAGTATGCTAGTGCATTGTCGTGTTGTCGTCTCTGAGGCGCGTGTTCCAAGCCATTCCATAAGCGGCTCCATGCCAGTGTTCAAATATATCAACCTAGCGAGTAGAGTTGCATCGGGCGATCAAGTGAACGCATGCGACGACGGCGCATGAGGAACTGTCGATAAACTGTTATGTTCAAAAGGGCTCAACAGGGCGTTCCTGCCTTTCAACAGCAGTATACGCCGCGTTGAGTTCAAGCAACAGGCTAATCATTCCCTTGGTGGCTTTGCACGATCACCTTTTCTTCTACCTTGCCGTTTGCCGAGCGGTCGAACGGCTCGAGCGCCCATTGCTCACTGGCCACCGTTCGCCTCTGCCTCCAACTGCCCAGCCTTCACGGTTTACACGAGAGCTAATATCCATCGAGCTTTGCATTACGCGACGTATTATTTGCCCGTTTGGAGTGGCGTATGTCGTCAAATATGATAGGCGTGTATTTGGTTATCAATCAATCTAGGCAGTATGGACTACTGACCACTCGTCGCATCCACGCGGTGCTGCTTCTCCCCAAGGCGAGGCCAAGTATGCGTACAGCACCTGCAGCTGCCCTCGAAGGATGCGCTAACATGAGATCACTTGACAAAATCCGACCGCGATGGCATCCCTCAGCCCCGACCTCCAGTGCCAATACACGTACAAGCCGTGCTTCAACCCGCGCTCGACCAAGAAGAACGGGTCGCTCCACTCGTTTTGCGAGTACCACCGGAAGAAGGCCAACGCGATTCAAAAAGCCCATGCAACCAAGAAGCGGCTACGCGAAAGCGGCCTCGCCGAAGACCACCGAGAAGTGGCCGCACCGTCCATCTTTATTGCGTCGCAGCCGGCGCGGCCGCGGCTCTCGACGCCGTCCTTTGATGGCGACGATGTTCGATTTTTGCACGAGTGGCTCGTCCAGCATGACACGCTCGAAGAAGTAGATACCAACTACGTTGGCACGACCGACGAGATTGAGCTTACGCCCGACGACTATGCGATTCTCCGGGATTTGTTTTGAGAAAGACTATCGAATGAGAATGATATGTGGCGTCGCCTCAACTGTACGTACGTCGACGATGACACATGCGTCGGAACGTTCCGTCTCTTCGAGTCAGTGTGACAGAAGCTTCGAGTCGCGCATTGCACGCTATCCCACGACCGCAACGCACTCCATGCCTAGTACATATCTTACGTCGCATACAAAACCGATATTTTGTCTTTTGCATTGTGGATCAACTTCTGAAAACAAGCGCGCGATCCAGGAATTGAACCGCCATGCCTTTGAATCCGAGTCACGTGAGCCCACGATGGCACAGCACTCACCGCCATCTCGTTCGCGTCGGTCTCGATCGAGTGGTCCCCTACCCCTACCCTACCCCGCCTCTCGCACTTCGACAACACCATTTCAGTTCATGCAAACACACAATGTACAACGTGGCATCGGCATTTCTTGTGTACATGATGCGACTACAGAGCCCACTCGAGGAGCGTGTGGTGGTCGGTGTGGACCATCGGGTAGTACGCCTCTTCGAGTGCTTGTTTGAAGCGGAGCATCTGCGCTTCCTCCGAGCCGTCGCCCAAATCAAATTCGGACATGGCCGCGTCTTCGCGCCACGAGATGTGGCGGCCATCGACAATGTACGACGCGTTGAAGAAGACCGCGCGGAGCCGCGTCTTGGTCGGCGACACACGCTCGAGGACAAACCTAGTCCATATTAATGACCATTGTGCGCGATTTCTAACTGATACCAGCACATGCGGTTGCACCACTGCAAATTCGAGGGCAGGAGCTCGTCCTGGTAAAAGTTGCCCGTCACAAAGACGATGCGGTCGGGCGTCGAGAATTCGCGGCAGACGTAGTAGCTCGACTCTTCCGGGTTGAACACTGTGCGGCGGTAAATCATGTTGGTATCAATGCTCTGGACCAGCTACATAGAAAGTATACAGTAAGACAATAGGAGCACACAGCTCGAATCTACCTCTTCGTTCATAAATTCGACCATGTACGGCCGCGTGTCGCCGCGGAGCAGCGACCAGATCGGGTCGCGCATGCCCGTCATGACGGCGTCCAGCGGCAGATCAAACTCGTGCTGGATACGCATGACAACATTGACCGAGTCGTGCTGCCCATCGAGGATCACGGTATCCGCGAGGTTCCCATGCGTCGGAAACTCGCTGTACTGCAGCATCCGGTCCGTGTTGTGAAGTAAATGCTGGCTGTACCAGTCGAGGCCCAGCCGGCGGCTCGTTGGCTCGGCGAGCAGCGTCGTTTGGCCCCAGACTGTGCCTTTCGGAAGCGTTTTCTATAGTCAACGTGATCGAGCGCTCGCACAAGATCGTATGCACGTACCGGCGCGACGGTCGAGGACATGGACGCGACCCAGGCTGCCATGCGCTCGCTGAGCTGGAGCAGCTTGCGCTGCTTGGCCTTCAAGCCACGGTGCTCCTCAAGCGCTTCGTTGGACGCTTCGGCAAAGATGGACGCAATCTCGCTCCACGGTAGCGCCTTGGTGATCTTGGTCGTGGGCTTGGGCAGCGCGGCGACCTCGGCCTGGAGCGCGTGGAGCTGGTCCTGGAGCGCGTCCCGCTCGATGAAGAAGCGCTCGCGGAAGCGCTGCTGCTTGAGGCGGTTCTGGAGCCGCTGGTGCTCCTTCATCTCGGCGGCCGACTGCGGGCGCTTGGACTTGGGCGGCCGGCCGCGGGGCTTGGGCGCAGCGACGTCCATCGTCTCGGAAAATGGTGCGAGTTGTGACACATGCAGATCGGCCGCGCATCCGATTGGCTGAAATTCCACGACCATGGGTGCAGGGCTTGGACCTTCGACGCGCGGACGCGTTAAAGTCGTGCATACCGCGGGTAAAATACGTTTTTCTCAGCCATGCCCACGAGCGCTTTATTGCATTGATGCATGCAGACTTGCCAAGAGATCCAACACCGTGCTATCAAGGCGTTGATTCGCCTGACGCTATCACAAGCCACCGACGGCCACGACTGACGAAGAAGCCAGGTGAAGTGGCGAGCATGCCAGTGCACCCACTGCACCGTCAGGCAGAGCTCAAGTCGTGCGTGGACGGATGTGCACTTTTGTTGCATTCTATAGAGCAGCACTGTGACAGAGGCGACACTGAGGCACACACAGTGGTGTCGGCAAGGTCTGCAAGCAGTGCCAACGTGGGCTGGAGCGATTTCCTGTGTAAGCTCTCATACACTCTGCTTTGGCTCTTACCTTGCGTCCAATGGACCGCGCGTTACCGACGCCCATGTAGGATTACGCATCGCGTGCGCAAAGACATCCATGCTTGAAGCGCTACGAAGCGACATGGTTGGGCGTCTTCTGACGTTAAACGCGTCGTTGCGTTAAATAGGGGCGAATCTGTCGGTTTGACACGCTAAAACGCGGGATTCGGGCGCCTGAATTGGATGAATTCGGCAAACCAAAGGAAACTAGTCATTGCTTAATCGATAGAAATTCAACAACAATTGCTTAATCGATAGAAATACACTAACCGCATTTCTTTTCGTGTATAAGGGCTGGAGCTCCCAGGGACCCATTGCGGTCCTACGCTTACTTGTCGCGCCCAACAAAAATCGGGGACCCAGAGAACTTGGTGCGTTCCTATATGCTTGAGCGCTCTGACGAGTCTCTTGATTGGACGCCTCGAAAACGATCGGATTCGATGACAAAAATCGTCGCCAAAAGCTGGGTGCGAAATTTGACGAACGCATTCGACAAGCTTGCTCCCTCCACGAGGCTCTGGACGCGCAGCCGCCCACACCAGCGATTGGAGAAATCTCTCATTACGAAACGTGGATGGGCCGAGCAGCTGGCCTCGATGCACTAGATATGGGCAGCGGGAATGCAATAACTTTCTCAGCAGCGGGCTCTACTTGCATGCCCGTCGTTCATCCATGGGCGGCAACGTCTGGAGCGAGGCGAGTCAAATGACGACATTGTGTTAGAGCATATTGACAGGTTTTCTCTAAGCGGTATGTATCCTTGAGCTGGTCGACCAGGGCTGACCAATGTGCCGAATCCAGGGGTCATTCTCGCTACTTATCTTAGTGCGACGATTGTCGTCCCATCGTGGCTCGAACTAGATGAGTACGACTTCCATCTCCGGGCAACTGGCGTTAGCGGAAAGGTGAGGGCGACCAGAAGCACCCAGTTCTCTGTATTCCGTTTCCTTGTCATCAATACAACGGAAAGGCTTCTAGGGCACTACGTAACTACTGCACTCGGACTCGAATAGCCATCTTCGCATTGTGGCGCAGGGCTTGGTGGCGCGGGGCTTGGACTACTTGCTGCAGCAAGTGCTAGTTGAGACCTTGTTTGTACCAACACTGCTATCGAAATGCAGTCGAGGGAGCGCTTTTCGGAGCTGCGTCGTGAGCTCCTTTAACGTGGACGTTTCCAAGCCATACTTGGTGGTATCCGTAAATCTGCCTATGTTGCCTGTAAAAGGTCGTAAAAGGTACCCGTTATCCGTACGACGGACCGTGAAAACCATATTCTGAAAATACTCCACAACACTCAATTGTGCAAGTTGATGGATTGATACTACAGAGACCGCGAAGGAAAAAATAGCTATGGAAAAGATGTCCTCGTAACCATCTCGTCAAGGCCCACGAAAGATGTCACACAAGATGGCATAGTCCTCGGCGGTCAAGGGACTCGTACTGCTACTCGTCTCGTCAAGGTAGTCGTCAGCATCAACGTTGTTGGTATCGAGCAGCCACTCGTTCAAGAAGCGGATGTCTTCGACGTCAAACGACGCCGACGTAGCAATTGACCGTGTTCGAGTCGGTTCGATCGGTGTCGGCCGAGACGTCGTGATCGCTCGCATCGCGTCTGCCTCACGCAGGCGCTTCCTTGCGTCATGTGCCTTTTGAAGCGCGTTGGCTTTTTGTCGGTGGTACTCGCAGAACGAGTGGAGCGACCCGCTCTTCTTTCGCGACCGCGGGTTCGTGCACGGCTTGTATGTGTATTGGCACTCGTTGTCGGTGGGGTTGACCGTGTTCATGGCAAAATGCAAAGTGCCAAAGTCGACTACGATGCATCCTCGCAATCCTACCTGAAACGCGTGAGTTCACAGCCATAAACGACTCGCAAAACGTGGCTGCACCCTACGTGGCAGCCTCAGAAAGAAGTAGGAAAGTTAGAGGTCGCTTTCCGATCATACCTGCCATTCCAAAGTCGAATGTAGACGTCCACATGTCTTTTGTTTAATCCTTTTTTAAATGTGATTGGTACCTATCATACATGAACTTGAATTTAGTAGGCTCCAACACAAACAGTCGACTGATCGCTCCGACGCCTCTCTGAACCCACGTGAGATGGAGAATTGGCCACTGGCGAAGTGAAAAATGTGCACTCGGGCGAGCCGACGTTGAAATTTCAGAAGTCGTGCAAGTTACATCGAACGACCCACTGGCCCCGCGGCAAAGCAATATCTTTTGTCGTTCGTGGCTTGTTGATACGAAGTCTCGAGTCGCATGCAGTGGTATACACTGGACTTTTCGCAGCTTGCAAAGGACTACAAGAAGTTCGCCGAGTGACTTTAGCACAACAAGACGTCATTACCACTACTTCTTACTCGTGTGCGGTACAGCCCGGCTGTTGTTGCGATGCGATGCGACTCCGTGGACACGACCTGATGCAAGGAGCAAACGATTCTCAGTCACGCTACCGACTTGGTAGAATTAGGTTCTTAACCGTGCAGATCCAGCCGCTTCATGCGTGGTTCTGTTTCCTATCTCTGCTCACTTGGCCACACAGCAAGGCTCCCGTCTCTGGCAATCGAAGCATGTTGTGATAGATAAGGACGTCAGACCTTGACGGCGGGTCACCGCTCTGAGCCACAGACAAACCGGCTCACACTACCCAAAACATGCGACACGAACTTAACCTTGACGCCTATCATATTTGCTGTTCGTTTGGATACCGAGTGTCCTCAGTGGCTGGCGTCTGCTTGCGATTGAATGGGATTGTGAGCTGTCGACCGTGTTGGAGTCAGGCAACAACGACACCCCAGCTTGCCAATAGTGCGACCCTTGTCGTCCAGCGCGCCCAATCCGTGGAGTCTGGATTATTCGCGGCGCGATGCTGCATTTTCCCCGCATATACTCGTACACTTCCAAAGTAGCTATCAACCGCCAAGTCGTACAAGTAATCAAGGTTGCATCGCTCTGTAGACTGGGTTGTTGTGACTGAACCCAGTGCATGTACTACGGTATGCAGACGCGCAAGCAGTGCATCGTACCGACAATACCTCTCCGGTATTATGAGTCGTTCAATCTATCAACTCATCCACAGAGACCATTAACACACAGGTCCAAGCAGCGGCAACAGCCATTGCCACGGGTCTCGAAACAAGGTGGCCTCCAGCAGGTGGACGGTGAGGGTCCGACCATCATTCTGCTTCAACATATGGTAG